GATGGGATTTGAAATCTTAGTTCACAAAAGATAATACGACACTAACTTCGAAACTTTGTGTATCTCGTTGGGGGAGATTCACTCACTATTTTGGTGCACGAGTTCGGAGTAGTCGGGATAAAACTTTCGGATATCGGACGAAAAAAAAAAAAAAGATAATACGACACTAATTCAGGGTCTTAAGCACTGGAACCGAGAGAGTAGTCTTGTCTTGTCGTTTGATTATATCAGGAAAATAATTTATAATTACCGAATAAAATAAGCGTGTTTGACTGTTGGTTGAGGACCCCTTGAAAATTATCTGATTGGGACATTCTTGTACTGGACGCTCTCACTTTCTGCAAAAATAAATTTTCTATGAATTCTTTTAAAATTTTTTAAGTTTATGTTGCTGACTTGCTGCCTACATTAATTGATTATTCTCCGTTGCGCGTAGTATTATTACTAGACTGGACGTTCCTTAATGTTATCGAGGTTTGAATTTCTTTTCTAACAATAAGCACGAGTTTATTGTGTTGTATGGACCATGGAGTATTAAATTATCGCAGGTACTTTCTGCGTCATTTTAAATAAAATAATTTTAAAATTATGATGTGTTTTTGTTCTATTCAAAAAAATTATTACAGGTAAATAAACGAAATATAAAAGAGCGACAGTATAATTTTCTTTTAATTTAAATATTTATCATCTTACTAATTGAGACAATCTTAAAAGCATACATAAAAGTATTATCAATAATTATATAATATGGTACTAATTACTTGTTGATTTAAATGAAAAAAATTTGATTTTTCTTAAATAAAATATCAAATTCGAGTATTCTAAATAAAGAAATAAATGTTGAAGGAGTTTTTCTTTTATAAAATCTGACGTAATTCGATTCAAATTAGTCGAAATCTAATATGATTATCAGATTTTGAAAAGTGAATATCAAAAAATAATTATATACCATGGTAAAAGAAATAGACTGAATCAACTTATTATTTCTAGGTACATAAAAATTGCAGTTTATATCATATTTTGAAAATTTATAATATCAAAATGGTACCTTTATCGCACTTGGCCTTTGAGGTTCAACGGCATTAATCATTGAAAAGTGCATATCTCCTTTCCCTGAACGGGTTTTGAATCCACCTCATGTCAAAAAGTTCAAAAAAAAAAAAAATGATACCTTTGTCATGCAACTTATGTTTGGTGAATTATATATAGAACAAAGAACTTAGATCAATACTATTTATTAAATTTTGTCATTATTTA